TTGTAATTAACCTTCTACACAAACAAAAGTCTGTCCTCAGGTGAGCGCTTTTGGGCCATTGATCCACCTGTTTTTCTAATCATCGGTTTTTAGGGCTCACTTTTTCCATACCTGTCATTTTCAAAAAGTTAGTTGGAATATAACCATGGAAGTCCTGTACATTTTTGCAGTGCTTTATGTTTAAATGATAATGTTTTCTATCTAGATCAAAGATTCTAATGCTTAAAATTGTATGATCCTTATTGTGTCGCTGTTAACATGAGCTGAATATGCTTTTTGCAAACGATTAGCTATTAAAATTGTGATTAGCCAATAATTAAAAAGGTAAATGCTAAATATAAACTTAAAACACGGACCACACTATACAAAGGCTGTCTCATTCTCAAAATAATTTGAACGGGATTGAAATATTTTGAAAGTTACGAATCGAAATTTCAGTGGGGTACGGGCTTTATTAATTTTTTTAGGCAAAGAAGATAACAAAATTAAAACAACCATAACAAAATATAAAGAAATGTTTAGTTTAACCTTTTCACTCCCAATTTTATACTAAGTTGGGTGTAATGCAACTGTGAGTGTTGATTAAATAATCCCAGGTACAATGAGGTGTAGTGATGCTACATTTATTGCTGGTGTTCAGGCTGATACTCAATGCAATTGAGTCTTCAGTTTTCATCTAATATTATTCCGCTATAATTGCTTTAGTTGGGGTCTCAATTTTTTCCACAAGAATAAAACATTAAATGATTAAGTAAGTCAATAGAGAGGAGACTTTGAATAAAAACTTTTAATTGTGCTCAATTATTGTTCATCAGTCATTTCATTCCTCATGAGCAATACCAATATCTTAAATATTTCATATTAAAATTTCAAATTTGAATTCATCCATCCATTCACAGACATACAGTTCATTAATGGTCTTCAGCAGTGAATATGAAGACATTTTAGGAAATCATTCGAAAGGTTAAGAAATCAAACAAAACTATCGCAAAAAATCTGGTAAGCAATGTCATTAATTGTAATGATAAGCAAGCGCCTGACATAGCGGGATGTCATAATTAGAATTGCTTACATATTTGTGAGGACTTTAAGAGCAATGTGAACAGAACAATCGTTTTGTTTGTCCAATTGATTTGGACCCAATTTAAATTAAATTATGGCATAATTATTTATTCATGTTTGATAATTCGTGACAGAACCATATAGCATACAAATACAAATCCTAGAATTCGCATAGCTGGAATTATCTGATTGTAAGCGATAATTGAATTCAGTTGGAAAAAAGTATCCAAGGGAAACAATTCAACCTGTATCATTAATACAAAACAATGAGGTCACCTCCTTTATTTGATGAAGATTAAGGAATCTAAAATGCAGCTTGTATGCAAGCATGTTTCATATTGACAATGGATAGTACATAATTTTATTAGGTTATTTAATTGTCAACAAATATTGCTTATTATAAAATCAAATACCGGCTTCCAATGAAGTATAATTACATCAATTCCAATATTCATACCTATGATTTTTTACAGAATTTCCAAGGTGCTAAATCAATGGCAGATACTATGTCATCGAGCACTTGCTGAATGCTCCCACTCTGACCATTTCCTGCAGAAAATCCGCCGATTTGAAGGTAAAGTATATAAATAATAAGAAATAGAAAGACTTTCAAAAATTATGTAGCGCACCAAAGAATGGTTACAGTCCTTGAGATTATTGTAATGAACCAGTTTATACATTCATAGATATTTTAAGAAAGGTTTGGTCTTAGCCTGAAAATAGGTTACTATATAGATATATTTGATATATTTAATATTGGATAATGTACGATATATATCACACTTGTCAACAAAATCCATATATCTTTCGTTGTTGGTTGATATATCTTTTACAAAATACTGTTAACATAGTTATTTATTGTATAACAAGCCTTCAATAATAGAACGATTTACTTTAAGTGCTGCAATAAAATATCATTGGTATGTGTGCATGTTTTAGACATAGTAACATTTTGTTTTCAGTATAGGACTTTAGGGCGTAAACTCCTGCAAATTGTCTAATAAATCACAGTCCTAGACTAATATAAGCATGCTTAGCGATTTTGGTGTAGATCATAAATTTCACTTATTTGTTCAAAGAAGACCGAAAATACTATAAATCAAATAGTAAATAGCCGGTCTCCTTTCAAATTGAGTTAGTAAATACTACAAGCCTATATGAGAATACTTTAATTATACTTTTTGATGACAGGAAATTGTATGGACCAGTTTCGTTATATATTTTAAGATATACTTTTTATGTTATATTGATCGATTGTGTAAGATGTAAGCCCCCGTGCATTTAAACTCAATCCATGCATTATTATACAACAATGCTGTCATAATTAATATCATTTGTTCTAAATATACATGCATTCAAACTCCTCTACGATATAAATATTAAAGTACAATATAGTCGTGTACGTAGATTTGAACTTCTATTGCTTTTGAACATTCCTTGTTCATGTCAATAACACTGGACATGAAGATGGACTTCAGTAATGATAAACGATTGTTTCCTTTTTTAGCAAAAGTTTTATTTGTAAATTAGTAAAACATAAAAATAGACAAATCAAAATATATGTGCATATACATTATAATAAAATGTTTCTGTTCGATTGTGGTAAAAGCATTAAAGCCAATTTTAACTTCAATCTCATCAGTAAAGCTGTCATTTAAAGACAGCATGGTTGTGACTCGAGTAGAGCTCTAACCTATGATCTCAAAACCGTGAGACAAACCACTAGCTCTATCAAAAATAAGTATCCGTGCTAATACAAACACAAAGCAACTGTAAAAGGAAAGCCCATGTCTCAATGTTATTCAAACATATCATTAATGGGCTTTCAGAGTAATCCAAGACTTGTAAATAAATGACAATAAAACATAAAAGTAAGATTTATTAAAACAACATTTATTTTTAGTTTGTTTTTCTTCAAACGAAGAATAAAGATATGGAAATCAAGATTTCGGATACGTTCCTTCAAAGGCATACCTAATTTATTTATTTTTAAATATCAGTTATTCAAAAGTCATCTTAGTATGATTTTGTTTGCTACGTAGGTAGATTTGATATTGATATCCGCTATATTTTTTCATTTATTTATACATGTATGTTTTATAATTGGTTTCAAGAAATGAGCAGTTAAATATTAAGTTAAATATTATAATATTATAAAATCAACTATAAATGACGGTTATCCGATTCAGAAAACAAAAGTGATGAGACTTGTGCCTTTATAGATGAAATGTTTAATTGCCTGGACCATTGTTCAACTGGAATCCAAATGCCTCAAAAGTTTGGGTTCTTTAATTTGATTTGCAAAAGAAGTATACTAAGAATAATATAGATAATGATTGTGTTTGTTTTTATTAAGAATTATGTTACTTTGTACCTTTTAGATATTAATTAATTTGAAAAATGAGGGGGATTAAATCAATGATCTTAAATTGTGCAGACCTAAATATTTATATGAAAGAAAACATCTCGAAACAAACACAGTCGTGTCCCTTTAAATATTAAACGGCATCTTCTTTGTATCTGAGCATAAACAGTGGATGTTATCACAGCAACAAATTTTTTATTACAGATTTTCTGAATCAATCATATGGCAATCATATGGCGGTATATGATAAATAGGACTAGCCCATGTTCAAATTATAGAGTCCCATACAGGTTTAAATTGCACATTAAAGTGATGATGACATTTATTTAACACTTTAACGAAAAGAATTTTTAAATACATTTGGTTTAATGAGATTATTCCAAAATGAATTTTTATATGCAAGCTGATGTACTCGTTACGATAGTAATTTCAAAAATGATTTTAACAATGTTTCAAGTTCTTGAATTTTTATCGATACTTAATTTCTAGGTTTTTAACTGTCCTTTGAGAAATTTGGGTATTTAACCATAGGCAATGTGATTGTATCTCTTGAACGATTTTAGTACAGAAATTTCAAAAGCCCTGTAAGAACTAAAATTAGTCCAGCAGTAACAGATGCTGCCCCTGAGCATGTACAATCTTCTACCAAAACGACCACTGTAGTCATCCCAGTCTTTTTTGTGGTGTCATCATCGACTGCATGTATAACTAGGGAGTATACGTTTGTGGTGGTACCAGAAATAGCTTTAGCAGTTTTGATAAGTCCACTGGCCTCGTCGATGGTAAAGTCGCTATTTGTATCTCCGGCTATATAAATGAAACGTATTACTTATTGAGATATAACGGCAATATTATACGCAGTTACAACGATAATAAGTGATAATTACAATGATATTATTGTTCAATACTCCTATTTATCTATTGAACTACTTTTTCAGATATTTATCTTTTGCAATGAGTATCTTCAGCTATTCTATCCATCATCGGAAAGTATTTGTTATCAAAAATACCATGTATTATTTTTTAAGACAGTTATGGCTGTGATAAATTATGCATTGAATTTGAGCCGAGTCACGCATCTTTTAATAATCAATGTGTGAACGCGCGCTTTACAATTGCAACGTCGTAGAAAATATAGTAGCCTGTATTCGTAAACAGCATTTTTTTGGGATATTGATTAAAATTAAAAATGCTATTGTTACAATAGCTGTTCCAGCCCCCGTGAAACATATATTGAATTTGATCATGTTTCGTGAAAATATTACCATATTTCACTCAAACGTAAAAACATCATCTTTAGTATTTAAAGTTTTCTTCTATTTTTTCCATTGACCCGTGTCCCGTAAACAACGATAAATAATGGCTATTTTTTTGCATGTTTACAACTTACATCATAATTTATCATAAACAAAAGTAATGGCGGAATTGTGTGACTGAAAAGTTTCAAAACATTATGTTTTGTCGTTTTATAATGTCACAGGTCTCTTGCAAAGCATATTAGCCGAGTGTTACCTCCCATCAGTCGAAAATTAACTAAATATTTCTTAGTCCTTCATCTATAAGACATACTTACAATGGATACTGTATTTCAAAACATCACCGTCATCAGGATCAGTTGCAGTGACTGTCATAATGGTTGTACCTTAACATAAAATTTTAAAAAACATGCATTAATGAGAATATAATTATTCATCAATTAGAAAACAATTTTGTAATTATCCTTAAGTTAGTACGTAGAATCAAATTTATGTAAAATTAAAATGGCGTTAAGAAGACGGTATAATAATTACAAAAAGGAAGAACATGAGAATTTCAACAAATTTACATATTAATATTTCAACGAACAATTACACCGATATGAACATATACATATCTTATGAAAAACTGTCGTAAATGTTCCAACTTATAGCTTTAATAATGTACATTCAATTAAATATAGAACACAGCAGTTTGCGAGCTTTCGAGTAGCGTTTTTGAAAATTGGCATGTAAAAAATTGACCGTATTTGTGATTAGATTCCGTTGATTTTATTCCAATTTAAATGATAATTCACATATAATGACATGCTTCACTTTTTAGTTTTGATAATAATTATGTTCGTTTGTTAGATAATAGTGACATTTATATGGTTTTATATAAAATACCGCTTTCAATTTATGAAAAAAATCATTTTGCCCCTTTTAAAAAGGAAGTTTGGTGTTATATAAATTCATATTTTTTTGAAAATCAGATGTCCGTATGCAATAGAAATACACATGTTTATGAAGAAGAAAAAAAACCCGTTTCAATAGGGTAATAAAGCCGGTCAAAAATCAAAGATAACTATTACTAAAAATGGTTAAGTGTAATTTTGAATAAATTATCAAAAAGGGTTTGTAAAAGTTACCAATTGAAAGACTTATAAAGGCATGGTAGCTCATTTGTTTCGTTCTTAAAGAACAAAAACGTTCAATGAAAGACTAGGGGCGATGTCGCCAATTTGTCAATGCAATTGAGTTTAAAAGACTTGCCAATCACCACTGTTGGTTCAGAAAATGTTCTTTCTACATTGATTTATTGTTTTCTTAAATTAAAGCAAGCAATTAATTTATCAACAATAGTGTGAATATAATTATCCTGTATTTGTAGCTTGCAAATATGAATACAAGATTTAAAAAACCACATAACTTAATTTATCTTTTCTGTTAATATAGCCAGTGTATCATATCACAGTCATATACTTTTATATTTGGAAAACTAATTGTACCTGTTGCGGAGTCTTTGGAGATGCGTTTGCCGCTTGTAGCCTTTGCAAAGGATGGTGCCTCATTTACGTCTCCCACTGTGACTGTAATAGTCGCTATACCTACTTCATCATTATTGTCTGTGGCCCTGAAACACACTTCTTTCTTATAAACTATCATATCATTTATTATCTTAATTGATTTTTCGTATTGTTTAAGTATACAAAAATTCAGTTTTGTCAGTGTTACAGTGTGTCAAGTTAATTATCTCAGTTGTTCACAAAAAAAATCAACATTTTTCAAATGCAATGTTGGAACTTACATTAACATTAATCTTACTTTTATGAAACAAGTACAGACATATGTTACTAACAGAGCCTAAATAAATTTACTGATTTTAAATAATTTAATTAATTAATTAATCAAGTGTTTATATCAATTATTGTTAAATGATTTATTACAAAATAAATAAATAATAGACTAATAAACTGATTAAAACAATACAACTATGTACATACTTTATCTCAAGTGTATATGAATCCTGAGTTTCATGATCGAGTGCCTGTGTTATTTTTAACTCCCCTGTAGAGTCGAGAGTAAATGGTGCGACCGCTGTGACCAATGCGTAAGTAATAGTCTTAACAGTCTCGTCTGTCTCTGCAGCATATGTTTTAATTGTTGTGTCCAATGCTTGGTCCTCATCCACTGATAATGTTCCCGTACCGCTATCCCCAGTTATACTAGGTGTTGTCCATGATGTGATGTCTGCATCTATTTAAAGATAGGCAAATGTTAGAAATATGTAAACAAAGTGTTGAAGACAACAAGTTTATAGGATAATATCGATTAAGTGTAAGAAAACATCAAACTATAGCAAAATGTATTTTAAACAAAATTCAATTGCAACACTTTTAAAAGATAATACCGAATCAATGTTCAGTGTGAAGATATATTTTCGATAAAGTCGTCAGAGTGTGTGTGAAAACAAACAGACAAAATGTATACGAATAAAGATGTTTTAGACGTAACAAAGTATAAGGTTTCAGTTGTCATTAGAACAAAAAATAAAATAGATAGAATTAACAGTAACAAAACCTTATCAAAAGTCTTTTGAACCTCGTCTTTGAGGAAACAATTTATTATGAAGTAAAATACATAGCTGGAAGTGAAATGAAATGCATTCCTTTTTACATATCTTACTTGCAAGCATATGCTATTGGGAAGACCCTTTGATATGGAACGCCATAGCTGCCTTATATAAACACTTCTAAAGTGGTCATGTCCTTTTGACAGATATTGCTGTGGTTCTGATAAATGGTTATGTGGTTTTAATAAATGGTGATGTAGTTGTGATAGATGGTCCAGTAGTTTAAGTAAATGGTGCTGTGGTTTTGATAAATGGTGATGTCGTTTTTGACAGATGGTGTTGTAGTTTAAATAAATGGTACTGTGGATTTAATAAATGGTGCTGTGGTTTTGATAAATGGTGATGTCGTGTTGACATATGGTGCTGTAGTTTAAGTAAATGGTGCTGGGGTTTTGATAAATGGTGATGACGTTTTGACAGCTGGTGCTGTAGTTTAAATAAATGGTGCTGAGGTTTTGATAAATGGTGATGACGTTTTGACTGATGGTGCTGTAGTTTAAGTAAATGGTGCTGTGGTTTTGATAAATGGTGATGTCGTTTTGACAGATGGTGCTGTAGTTTAAGTAAATGGTGCTGTGGTTTTGATAAATGGTGATGTCGTTTTGACAGATGGTGCTGTGGTTTTGCTAGCTGGTTTTGTCATTTTGAATATTGGTGATGTAATTATATATATGGTGCTGTTGTTTTGATACATGGTGCTGCAGTAATGATAAATGGTGAGCTCGTTTTGATATATGGTGGTGTCACTTTGGTACCTGGTGGTGTGATTTTATATATGGTGCTGTTGTTTTTATAAATGGTGCTGTAATTTTGCTATATGGTGATGTTGTTTTTATAAATGGTTATACTATTTTGATGTATGGTGATGTTGTTTTTATAAATGGTTATACACATGTACTATTTTGCTACATGATGATGTTCTTTTTATAAATGGTTATACTATTTTACTATGTGGTGATTTGTTTTTATAAATGGTTATACTATTTTGCTACATGATGATGTTCTTTTTATAAATGGTTATACTATTTTGCTATGTGGTGATGTTTTTTTTTATACATGGTGATACTATTTTGATGTATGGTTTTGTGATTTTTTATTAAGATGATGATGAACTATTTATAGATGACCTGTTTGTTTACCGGAACATTTTGATTGGTTATTTTAAAAAAATGGAGACGTTTTTTCGCCAAATTCTATACACTCTTATCTGAGCTTCATCACATCTTGACTGTTATTTATCCCTAAGTATTTCATTTCCTGCATAAATAATTTGCAGATAAAATCAGGCGTGATCTTTTCATTTTCAAACATTGTCCACAAGTTACCCATTCCAAGGTTTTTCAAAATTGCTTCCCTTGTTTTCCACCAGTTTAATTTTAATTTATTAATCTCAGAGAAAAACATTTAATCCTTTCCTTGATGAGCAAATTGTCAAAAATGGCCGTTTTCATTGGAAAGTCTCCTGTTAAAAGTTCAAATTGCTATGGAACTATGAAAAATGCTTCGATACTGATGAAAATTGGCACAAATGTTGACTGGACAATAGCCTCTGTACATGTTACAGCATACTCAACCTTAAATTTCCTGTAAAATTGATGTGGATAAATGTGAGATAGAGCAAAAGACTTTTCAGCGTTGGTTACACGTTACCTTACGATCGACCTGAGGCCATTTTAGCCTGTCACATGTCCAAAATTTTATTGGTGATGAGGGGGACTGCCGCCCCCTTCAACACCCCCCCCCAAAAACAGAAGGGGGCACATCCCCTTTCTGACAACCCCTTGATGTACCATTTTGATGGGAGCGGCGCCGAAGAAAATAGGGTCACTTTTTAACAACATTTCTCAAACGAAAAACAGTGTCTAAGGCTTAAATAGGGCATTTTGTACTGTCTGAGGCCTCATAAGGGGGGGGGGTCACCAAGCCGTCAAATCACGTCTATATGAGGTAAAGTCTATTGAAACGACATAACCATTTTTCAAAATTACAGCACCATCTCACAAAACGACATTACCATTTAACAAAATTACAGCATCATCTAACAAAACGATATAACCATTTAACAAAATTACAGCATCATCTTACAAAACGATATAACCATTTATCAAAATTACAGCACAATCTATAAATAGCACAGCACCATCTAACAAAACGACATAACCATTTATCAAAATTACAGCGCTATCTACAACAACCACAGCACCATCTAACAAAACGACATAACCATTTATCAAATCGACAGCACCATCTAACGAAACGACATAACCATTTATAAAAAAAACAGCACCATCTATAAAAACCACAGCACCATCTAACAAAACCACATAACAATTTATCAAAATTACAGCACCATCTATAAAAACCACAGCACCACCTAACCAAACGACATAACAGTTTATCAAAATTACAGCACCATCTATAAAAACCACAGCACCATCTAACAAAACGATATAACAATTTATCAAAATTACAGCACCATCTATAAAAACCACAGCACCATCTAACAAAACGACATAACAATTTATCAAAATTACAGCACCATCTATAACAACTACAGCCCCATCTTACAAAACGAGATAACCATTTATCCAATTCACAGCACCGTCTATTGAAACGACATCACCAGGTATCAAAATTACAGCAACATCTTTAAAACTCACAACACCGTTTAACAAAACTACAGCATCATCTATCAATTCGACTTCGCCATTTATCAAAACGACATCACCATATGTAAAAACGACAACACCATCGATCAGTGCTACAGCACAATATTTCAAATAGACTTAACCAAGTATTGAAATCACAGCACCATTTATTAAAATGACATCACCATATCTCAAAACCACTGCACCGTTTATAACATGACTGCACCATATATCTAAATTATATGACCATCTATCTGAACGACATCACCATATATGAAAATAACATCACCATCTATCAAAACCATAGCACCATCTATAAAACGACATCACCATTTATCCAAAGGACATCACGACTTGATAAGAGTGAATATAAGGCAGCTATGGCGTTCCATACTTTGAAGTTGTATAAAATATTGTAGTAGGGAAAATATTTTTGAACGTTTCAACTGACGTGTTTGAAAATTTAATTACTTATAAGATCGATGTTGTTGATTCTGATGCTTTATTTTGGTATAAAGATAAACTTTGTTGTTTTAATACGGTAGAGATAGTTTGACACAGATTTAAAAAAAGTTTAATATCTTCTGCCTATATATAAAAGTATTTGTGAGGTTAATGAACACTTAAATGGGTTTGTAAAATAGATATAATTTTGGAGTCAATTATTTTTATTCATTTCCATTTTTTCTATATTATCATAACAGCAATAGATATTCTGCGATGACACTTTAGCATAGTTTATAACATGTACTAAATTTATTTTAATGTTGTTATTCTTAGACACGTACAAAACTGTCAGTTACTAGATAAATGTCAGTTACTAAATAAAATCAATTAATTTGATAATTAATCAATTTCAATTAATTATCAACTTAATTCATTTACTAAGATAATATAAACAAATACATAGATATTGCAAAATAAAAACAAATCAGTAGATTGACGATAAGTAACATTATACTGATGGCACTTGAAAAACTTTATTAACTTTTTTTGCAAAAAAAAAATTAATAATGATGAACTATATATTGCTATATTTTTTTTTTACTTATTTCTTTCGATTTTTTAATAAGCTTGATTTGAAAGAAGTCTAACCGTTCAGTGTTATATATTTTGATATGAGAATATAATATGTTATAAAATCCTGCTTTGCTTCACATGCTCACAATTATTATGGTAGAAAAAAATTCTTATGTATTATGGCTGCTATTTTATTAAAATAGATTCTAATTTGTTATAAAACATAATACGTTTATGTTTATATCGAAAACTTAAGTTAAATTTTTGTTATATTTGTTGTTCAAAGTTGAGTATTTCAAATTGTAGTAATTTCTTTGCACGGTTATTTGTTATCTAAAACACCTTTAATCATTACACTTCCCGAGTTACTATAAGTGTTTTATAAAAAGCTTAACATGATGCACCGAAAAATTGTCAAACAATTAAAAACAGATAATGAATGATATTAATTAAAACGATAAAACGTCAATGTTTTTTTTCTCTCAGAGCAAAAAGCACAATATCAAAATTTTTATATTTACCTGATCTTAAAAACAGTCCAAGAAAAATCAGACAAATAAAAGCACTCGTCCCAACGCCTTTCGCCATTGTTTCGTACAGGCAGATTTACCTGCAGCAGAAAAAGTATGTCTAGTAAAACACTCGGGTTCTGGCAGCCCAATAAATAGCCTGAAGTTCATGTTGTTCTGGGGTTGTCATGGTACTGGGACAAATAGCTAAGAATACATTAACTTGCAGGAAAATTCTGCAGATATTTATGGGGCAACAGAGACTGCGCATATGATCATTTATTAGCGCATGCGCCAACAGACTATTATTAAATGACGTTGCAAAACAGGGATGGCTTTATTTACCGTGACAAAACGTATCTAAGGTAAACAACATAACAAATTATCAATTTGTTAATAGTTTGATGCCCATTGATTAGTTGTTTGAAATTAAATAAAGTCTGTAGCTTGTTTTTGCAATTGCCATTGCTACAGTTGTCTACATGATTGCTTGTTTCAGAAAATAGTTAAAAATTATTGACGCATCCTCCTCATAGATGAACTTCTGCGAGTTCTACAAGTTATTAATGCCATTTTGGTTTCAGACAATTTTGCTTTATCTAATTATGTAAACAATTTTAATTTGTGCAATATCTCGGGTAAATTCTTTCTTTCAAAGATGCATTCAAAAATGGTTACAAGATTATAATCGCAATTTATATTGTAGCATCAGTAAGTTACGATATCAAAACATAAGGCGGCTGTAATTTACCAGTAACTGGGACACAAATAAATGTGATCGTACAAAGCTAATATAAGAACACTTTTCATATGCCCGCTAAACTCATTGTGGAGAGCGTCGAATTTGTAATGAAGGGTTCGCTGGTTCGATATTTGAGCGAGGTGTAGTTTCTCCGTAAAAATTGGTCCAGGGCAATTTGTAAAATGGTTAATTGTCGAATAAGTTGTCGGTCACATGCGGAGAAAATTAGTACAAGCTGTTTAAATGGCCCGACCGTAACAATTGGTCCCGGACAAGTTGTATATCGGTTATTTATGGTTACAGTGGAGATATAACTAACACAAATGTGTTTTTATCGGCGTAGAAATCCCAGATAATCTTACAGACAAAAAGGACACTTCTCATCCCGAAATTGATATATAATTGGTTTATAATTTGCCATTACATTTCATGTCATGGGTAATTGATTTCAACACTATTGACGGTGAGGTAAAAATAGTGCTTAAAACAACACAATAACACAGAGCGGATGACGCACATTTGATAATAATTAATTTATATGTGAAAAATATATCCCATTTTAAAACTAGTTTGTTACTCTTTAAAAAAAGATCTGACTCTGAATTTATTGTTATAGCTTAGTAATCAATGTTTATGGAGCCAGAATGAATTATAAAATCGATATATCTGTCCGTCAATTTGTTTTCCCGTCTATCTGTTTCATTATTCCAAATCTCATGTCTCTTTGCAGAAGTGTAACAAAAATTGTTTTGTACAGAACAGATAATTAATTCAGATTCATTTTATTTATAGATATAAATACATATATTTGTCAACGTGAGATACGAAAAGAAAAACTTAATGTAAGAGAAATGTTAGAGACTCGATACATGAAAATCAAAACTATTTATAATGCTTAAGGAGCTAGAACAGTGACTATTTACCTTCCTACAGTTAGTAACAAGTATCTTAAAGCAAGGGCGTTTTTAACGAGCAGTGATATTTGTACATGTATGAGCTAAATCTTATAATTAGGATTCAAAAATTTGATAACAGATGTTATTTTGATGTAAATGTCCTTTATGTATTTTTTTCCATAATTTTGATACATTTAAAATGATATTCATCTTCTATTTCTAAATTATTACAACATAAACAATATCGTTCATTACGGAGATTAGGACTTTCCGCTGAATCTTCTTGTTTGGATTCTAAGGGGTAGACTGCTCATTTTTAATTTACAAAATTATAGTTAGAAATAGATTTACAAGACGGCATGACTGCTCTAAGGTGAAATTTTGTTTCCTGTGTTATTGAAATGAAAATTATTCTAAAATTTTTTTTTAACTTCTGATGCTCAATTGTTTTATCTCTCCATTTTATCAGCTTTATGCATGAATTAGATGATAAATTATCGTTCAGACTTTCACGTTTGACATACTTGATTACAAGCATTTAATATTTATAATCTTTGATGAATTTACGCAGGGAGTGTTTTTCTAGAGATAACCCAGCTTTTTATCACCTTATTTCATGCAAGTGGAGCATAACAAACACATTAAATACCTTGAAAAAACATATCTAAGTCTGTTTTATAACATTTCGAACAGCTTTGACTATTGTGCCACGAAATAATTATACGATACTAAAAGAAACCAATCAGATGTTTTGGATTATTTAGATAACAACCTTGTATGTTTCTGATCAATACAAACGTAATGCTAAAAAAGACAAGTGGAATAATGTTGGCTATTTGCAGTTTCAAAATAATGTGATCGTTCTACTCGCGATTAACTAGTTCATGTATGAAACGAACAAATTACATGATACTAAAATACAGTTATGTACTGCCTGTCTAACAAAATTTAAGCCTTCTTAGCGAAAAACACAATTATATAAAAAGTTTTTATCGCTTTCCTTCTTGGGTCATAAGTCACGCGTTACAATTTCAAACAGGCCTCCCAAGTTTCCTTTTTGACTTATTTTATTGATCTGTGTGATTACGGATCCAAAAAAGAACAATTGTGTACTTCAAGCGGTTTGTTTAAAAAATGTAGTAAACAAGATGTGTATCAAAACGTGTGTATATAGACACATTAAATCTGAAAAGAAATTTCCAAGAATATGGCTCAAACCTAACTTTGATTATTATCACACTTTATAATTAAAGACAACAAGCTCATTTGCATTCTCAAATTGTATAGAAATAACAAACAATCAATGAAACTGTATCGTTCTTATGATAAAAATGAGTTATTTGTTGTGTTGCTAAAATATTGATAGAACTTCTGGAACCGAACAAATATTTATGAATAACTGATTGCTCCATTGCTTTGAAGATGCTAGTTAATCATTATATCATTTTTCATTAAAAAATATTGAACAGGTTTTGTGTTATTTCAAACATAGAAAAAAACGCATGCTTATGAGAAATGTGGTTGTTTCATAACAATACTTTCACCAAGTGCAATAAGTGATCACATTTATTTTGCTTATCAGTTTTTGCAGCAACTTGGCAGCTGCGTACAAGCTCATCAAATATTTAGAGTGCAACTTCGTAATTTTGAATGCCTGTCTAATATGACAGCATTTATTTGTTGATGTCGTGTTAAAATCGAAATAATATATCAAAATCGGTGATTTTATCGCTTGATAGAATACATGTTTGTCGTTCGGATGCGCATCATTATGTCACGAGGGCGTAGCAATTCTTTGCATCAGAACTCGAAACAGTTATTTTTTTGAGCGATACAATTATAGTTCGGGGTATATTATTTATCAAGTATCAATTTTGAAAAGTAATAATCCTATTACAATCGAAGCCATGGAATTAATCAATGGATATTTTGCAAGCAATATGATTAAAATCAACTCTAAAAATGTCCCGCTTTTAAATTTGACCGTGACTTAATACGAAATTATTTCTGTTTACCTAACTTGCAATCATCGGCGAGCTTTTATTATTTTGAAAGCGATGTGGTTTCTAATTTTAGCCCTGGGAAAACCAATTCTGAGTGGTAGTAATTTTCACAATTAAGAGAACAAATATAGCGTTGTCCATATAGCCGACAGGTATATAGACTGGCTATTAAAATTTACTATATTATTTCGAGTCAATTTGTTACAAAATACTTCAGACATTTTTTGTTCTTACAAAAATCAACAATTTGTTTAACTTCCATGGATAACGATATTTTGATACTTCTTCTTATGCCTATCTAAAAACCGGTTTGATTGCATGGCTAAAAAAAATTATCGGGAAATCGGGTAAATACGGTCGTCATCAGTTCTTCTTAAAAGATATAAACAGATCTAAACTTTAGTCAGATTTTTAGAAGCAAATTCTAGTGATCATGTGATTGTGATAGTTTTATGATATTAATGTTACGTATTGCAATTTAACATGATGTAGTGGCTTCCGTGGCAAGGCGATTAAGGTCGTTGACTGCAGACCACTCACTGCTGTTGGTTTGAATCCCGCCAGTGACTTTGATGGCAGACCTGTTATATTTTCGATCATTCGTCCAGCACGACATACATGTAATTGTTTCGTGTACATTATTGTGCTATTTTTAGTGGGTTTTTTCTTTTGTTTTTTTCTTGTGCTTTTGAACTTTTTGTTTGTCTTTTGATGTCATGTCTGTGATTTGCTGGCTTCATAACCTCTGATTCACTTTCAAAATTCCATTTTGTTTAGTACAGCCCATTATTCTTGTTCAAGGGCGCAAACTTTCTTTCAATTGGGTACCATACGCCGTATGAATACATCTTTGGATGTTTCTAACTTCAAAATGTTATCATTTTTGTGTTAAGATGTTGAAGTATGCTTAAGCCAGTGCTAGGGGGCTTTGATCGTTATTTGCAATTTCCAGTACCGTCAACGAAAAGTTCCGTCAAACCGAACCTGCAACATTTTCATTTTTGGCGGTCTTCAGGAATTCCCTTTTTCTCTATTTGTTGGATTATTTAATTAGATAAAACTATCCAGCTAGCTTACGGAACGTCGGTTGGTTTTCTCAAATGCCCGCTCGTGCCTGAGGTCTTTTACCAGCAAAGCTACAATGACCTCTACTACATGTACTACGTTAATGCGACTGAATCTTTAAATTTGACTTTTTACACTAAAAAAGCTAAAAGATAGGCAAATGATAAGAGAGAAATGTTATCAGGAATAATTAGTCATCACAACTATGCAAGAAATATTTGGCGTATACATTTTGTCTTCCTATTTGGGCAAAGCTGGATATAAGTAAAACACTTAAACATTGCATGTATGTCTTATTTAGATACGACTTGGGAAGTATTAAAATTATGATCTTGCATTATATGAAGAATAAAAACAACAGAGATTTATAGAAGAAACAACAACAGCAAACAGAA